AAGTCAGGAAACAAGAGGAGGAAAAGAGGGGAGAAGGAAAGAAGAAAGGAAAAGAAAATGATCATTCTATTATTAACACAAAAGCAGTCTTCCAGGAACCTCAAGAACTCCCAATGACACAGAATACTGGCTATTCATTAAAGCTCATTAACAGGAAGGGGAGAAAAGGCTGTGGAAAGAGCGGTCCGGGAGCAGCCCCTGCTTTCTTCTTGTTTCCATCTTGCCTCGTGTATCTTCACCTATCCCTTTATTTTTAGCTTTTCTAAATAACCTTGTGTGTTCCTTGTATACAGCACATAGCTAAGTCCTGCTCAGTAATCCAAATTGAAAATCTTGGGTTTTTTTTTTTAAAGGTGAGTTAAATATAACAAAAGACAAATCTTTTTACATCTATACATTTCTAAACTCTTAATTGTCTTGTGCATAATAGGTCATAACTTAAGGGAACAAGCATAACTGAAAAATCTTAATAGCAAGTTTAAAATCTTAAATACAGTTAATAATAATGAAAATACTCCACTTCAAACATCATGAGCTATTTAATAGCTCAGCTTTAATAGTACAGCTTTAAATGCTTATATTAAAAAGAAACTTAATAACTGGTGAGTTAATTATCTATCTGAAGGAATAAAAAAAACCCCAATGAAATTAGAATAAAATACTACTTACAGTAACAGTAGGCTAGATTATTCACCCAATTCTGTCACTGAAAACAACAAAAAGTAATGGAAAAACTTTATTTCAAAAAATATTAAAAGCTTTGAAGAGGTGACAAGATGACAAGGACCAAAATCTATGATAGAAAATCAGAGATAAATGGCATAATTAAACTCTTTCCAACCTGCAGACATGTGCCTAACTCACAAAGTTGAGCTACCGTTTTAACAATTTCTTGTGAGTGAAGAGAATTCAAAGTTTAAGACCCAGCCAACAAGGAAAATCTAATAGAGGACCCTTTCTCCATAAAGCTGGGACCTCCCCAAGAGCTTCCTGCTCCAGAAGGGAGTAAACCGGAATTAAACCCACTTTACACGGTCCCTTATCTTATGCCCAGAGGGCTACGGGAAATTTGCCTTCCTGTGGCCGAAGGAAACAAGGATTCCTAAGAGGTTGTAAAGACAGGCAGATGTACACACATTATCTGCAACCCAAATTCACCCTATTTGGGTGGTTTAACACCTCAAGGGATGGATTTAGCCACCAAACTAGTACCTTGAGGCATTTAAAGTTGGGGGGGGGTGGCAGGGAACAAAGGTAAATCCTCTCAAAGCAATGCAGTTCCTTGTTGGACCTCAAAGAAAACCCACAAATATTACTTCCAAGGAAAATAATCAGTTAACAGTCAAAATCTCAAAGGGTAAATTTAAAAAAATCTATACCTAGGGACAGCATATGAAACTTCAGAAAATAAAAAAAACCAGATCCACTCAAATGAAAAACCACTAGGCAGCTAATTTATCAATACCAACAATAAAAAACAAAAAAGAGTGAAATTATTTCTTCAAATGGCTAAACAAAATAACTGCCAACCCATAGACCTATCTATCAAGGATGAGGGTGACTTTCACGCCAAAAACCCAAAAAATAGTTTGCTACAGAAAATCTCATTAGAAAGAACTCTGAAGAAAACAATATTCTGGCCCTGACTGGTGTGGCTCAGTGGATTGAGTGCTGGCCTGTGAACTGAAAGGTTGTAAGTTTGATTCCCAGTCAGGGCACATGCCTGGGTTGCAGGCCAGGACCCGCAGTGGGTCATAAGCAAGAGGCAACAATTAATGTATCTAGAACGTTGATTTTTCTCTCTCTCTCTTCCCTTCTCTCTAAAAATAAGTAAATTAAAAAAAATTAAAAGTAACTAATCTTCTGAAAGAAAGTAATTTAGATGGAAAAATCTGAAATCCCTAGAGGAATCAAGAGCACATAAAGTTGGAATCCACATCAAATTCAAAGGTTCATTTTCAGCTACACTGACTAAAGAGTAGAAAGCTAATTGACAGCAAGAGAGAAAGAATTCAAGTCATCAAGGACAGAGGAAGAAGGTCCTAGTAGCATTATAAGCCCCTGGTTCCAACTGTTCTTGAAATCTTGTTCTTGGAACCTGAGAGACAGCCAGTGTCCTTGTGGTTTAGATTCTGCTTTTCATTTTAAAAATGTAGACAGGAGAAGGGCCAGAAATTAATGAAATAAAAAACATATAACCAAAAAAATCAAAGTCAAGCATTGTTTTTTTTGATAACACTAAAAAAATACAATAAACCACTAGAAAGACTAATGCAAGGAAAAAAGACAGAAGGCACAGAAAAGAATGGAAATAAAAAAATGGAAATATTACTTAACCGAGATTTAAAAGATAACAAAAGAATGCTTTGAACAACTTTGTGCCAAGTACTTTAGAAACTCTGACAAAACAAATGGATTCTTAGAAAACAAAAGAAAAAAAAACCTTTCTAAAAACTAACTTAATTAAAAACAGAAATGCTAAATAAAACCACACAGAAAGCTGAATACATACCTTCCTCAAAATACTGAGCCCACATGTCTCCCTCCAAAATACTGAGCCCAGACAGTTGAATGGAAGCTCAACCAAACTGTAAAGAAACAGGTCATTCTAGTCTTAGATAAATCCTTTCAAAGGTGTAAAGAAAGATTAGTTCCCAAATCATTTTTGAGGTTGGCATCATCTGGATACTAAATCAGGGTAATATAAGAAATAAAAATTATAGGCCAGTATCATCCATGGATGCTAAATCAGGGTTATATAAGAAATAAAAATTATAGGCCAGTGTCATCCATAAACTGGCCTATCAGATGCAAAAATCCTAAATGAAATGCTAATAAACTAAGTACAGCTATATAGTACAAAAGAAGAGCATCATGACCAACTGGGATTCATTCCAGCAACGAAATGGTAATTCAACATTAGAAAGTCTGCAAATTCACCACATTAACAACATAAGGGAAGATAACCATATGATCATCTTACAAATGGAGAAAAATCATCTGATAACCCTCAATATTTATTCTTCACACACACACACATACACACACACACAAAATCTTAGCCAACTAGCAACAGAAATTCATTTAACCTATAGAATACCTACCAAAAATTTATAGCAAACATTATTAATGGTGAAACATAAAAAGCACTTGCTTTTAAAAATTAGGTACAGCATAAGAATGCCCACTATTAACATCTGTATTAAATACTGTACCGGAAGCCCTCACTAGCCTAGTAAGGCAAGAAAAAGAAATGGTGTGAGCACTGGAAAGGAAGACACAATTTGCATTCATAATACTTTAATAATTTAGTAAGGTGGCTGAGCACAGATGAGCATACCAAAAAGATGGAAACAAAGAGGAAAAAATATATTATTTACAATAGTAACAAGAAATAAGACATTTAATAGTTAAATCTAAGAGAAAACTTGAGAGATCTTATGGAGAAAAAGACACCTTACTGAAAGGTCTTTTAAAATATCCAAATAACTAGAAAGATATGCCATGTTTAAGGATACAAAGGCTCAATATGATAAAAAGAGTAAGTGAAACGCATGTGTAGATTAAAAGCTACAGAGATCTTGAACTCACATACGAGACAGGTCCCATTTTTTAATAACAGCTTTTGAGAGCTTATTTGGAAGTTGTGGCAGAGGAATGGTCCCCTGCTCCACCAGGGAAGGTCGTCCTCTTTGACCAAGTGTGCAGCTTTGAGAAGGACACACATGGAGTGGTGAGGAAGGAAGGGGACACCTGCCCAGCCAGCCAGATCAGCCAAATCAACCTTGGAGATCAATGGGGGAACAGATGTTGCCGCCAGACCTCCCTCACATCCTAATAACAGCTTTTGAATTATTACAAACTTGACGCAAATTATTCCGGTTCATAAATATATTTTTGCAATTGGTATAAACTTATTAGTCACTAACACAGGAATTTTATTTTAACCAAATTGTAGTAATAGTGGATATGGCACTTTAGAATTCACAGCTTCAATGAACAAGTATGAACAACATGAGCAGTATTCAGCTGAGTTCCAGTTGAATGTGCTGTGGTCCCACTGGTTCAAAGGTCAACCAAACCCATTAGATGACCACAACGTAGGTTCTGATAACCACTCCTGCAAGTGATAAAACACAGCCAACATTTTACACGACATAAGATTTGGTTCTTGGTAATTATCTGTGAACACTGACAGAACACCATCTCCTTAAAAGCCACCTAAAAATGTAAACGTCCATTCTGAATAGAAATTGCTTTTATAAGAGGAAAAGAGACAAAACACATTCATAATACAATGACTGAACTGGGTTCTAAGGGTATTCTAAGGAACCTACGTGTAGTTCTCATACATATAATTTTGTACATGTGAGACCTATAAGCAGGTGCCCAGTTTGCTTTACAATAGTTCTGAACTTGACCAAACATACCAATTTCTTTAGGTTTAACTTACTCAAATTTAGTTTTGGTTTATGAGAGTTTTATGGTATCTTATAATACTGCTTAAATTTGGCTTTATCTAAATGTCCTAACACAGAATTAGAAATAATAATCATGTTTTACTGGTTGCTAGATGATAATACTAATAGTGAACATTTACAGAGTGCTTACTGTGTGCCAGGCACTATGAAAAGTGCTTTTACGTATTAAATCATTAAATCTTCACAACAACCCTATCAGGTATATAATATTACTATTACCATTTTACAGACAGAAAAACTGAGGTACAGAAAAGTTTAGTAACTTTCCCAATGTCACACAAGGAAATGGAGAAACTAAGGGAGCCACACCCAGGTAGCCTGTCTGCCCAAGACCCTTAGTCACTATGTTACACTTCACAATATTTAAAATATATATAAAATTATTATGAATAAAAAACTCACTATTAAAAAATTATCAGTAAAAGTTAAACAATATCAATACAACTTATCATAGGCTGAGTTTTCACAGCTATTGCAAAGTTTCATGGCCATGATTAAGAGTTTTGAAGTTGGACAGACCTGTCTCTGAATCTTGGTTGTGCCCTTTACAAGCTGTGTGACTTTGGACAAATTTCGTAACTTCACCAAGCCTCAGTTTCCTCATCTGTAAAATGAGAATAATAAACATCTCACAAAATTGTTGTTAGTAAAATAATTACTACTACATTACACTGATATGGTAACTCTCACCAAAAATACAAGGACAAAATAAAAAGAGGGGGTTCTCAAATTTCTCCATAAAACCGGACTTGATTATACTATAACAAAGATGACCACTGCAAGTCACTGCAGCAACTGTAAGATCGATACACTAATGCGGAATACCAATCTCCTCTAATTCAAAACAAATAATTCCCCTAGATAAAAGTCAAATGCCTACAGGTAAATTAGTGGATCCTTGAAATATAAAATAATGTATATACATAGAGGAAGAGATAAACAGGTAAGATATTGTTGTTTGTTCACAATAACTCCCACAAATCCCATTTCTACATATCCTTTAAGACTAGTAGTATTCAGGGCACCCAAACAGGAAGTGCTGTGTCAGAAAGCAGCAATTCCAGGCACTAGTAGAAAGTAATTTTTGTAAGAGAAAAACAGAAAGAAACAGACATGTCATCAAAGGAGGGTAGAACTACTATTACTGTTACAAACAAAGAGTGACTATGCCCATCATACTTGACATTTTACTAACAAAACGCCTTAAACTGTCACTATTGCTGTCTTTAGAGTCCCAATCAAGTAATTTAAAAATAACCACCTTTTTACCAATGCCTGCATTTACCAATAATATACCTACTGATGATAGGTTAGGTATCTCTTAGAAGAGGATGATTTTAACAATACACCATAAATATTCTTTTTGAAAAGGAAAAATAAGAGTAGTATTTTGCAAAAACCTTGTAGGATAATTTTTTGTTTTTTTTAATATATTTGATTGATTATGCTATTACAGTTGTCCCACTTTCCCCCCTCTTTATTCCCCTTTGCCCTGTATCCCGCCACCCACATTCCCCTCCCTTTGATTCACTGCCCCAGCTCAGTCCACTGAGCTATACCAGCCAGGGCTCCCCTCCCTTAGTTTATGTCCATGGTTCATACATAGTAAGTTCTTTGGCTTCTACATTTCCTGTACTATTCTTAATCTCCCCCGGTCTATTTTGTACCTACCATTTATGTTTCTTATTCCTTGCAACATTTCCTCCATTCTCCCCCCCTCCACCTCCCCACTGATAACCCTCCATGTCATCTCCATTTTTGTAATTCTGTTCTTGTTCCAGTTGTTTGCCTAGATTTTGTTTTTTTAGGTTCAGTTGTTGATAGCTGTGAGTCTATTGTCATTTTACTGTTCATATTTTTTATCATCTTTTTCTTAAACAAGTCCCTTTAACATTTCATACAGTAAGGGCTTGGTGATGATGAACTCCTTGAATTTGACCTTATCTGGGAAGTAGTTCATCTGTCCTTCAATTCTAAATGATAGTTTTGCTAGATAGAGTCATCTTGGATGTAGATCTTTGCCTTTCATGACTTCAAATACTTCTTTCCAACCCCTTCTTGCCTGTAAGGTTTCTTTTGAGAAATCAGCTGACAGTCTGATGAGAACTCCTTTGTAGGTAACTATCTCCTTTTCTCTTGCTGCTTTTAAGATTCTCTCCTTTGTAGGTGACAGTCCCCTTATCTCTTGCTGCTTCTAGGATTCTCTCCTTCATTTTAATCTTGGCTAATGTAATGATGATGTGCCTTGGTATGTTCCTTCTTGGGTCCAACTTCTTTGGCCAGGTAGATCAGGAGTAAGCCACAGAAATGAAGATCATGTGAAGGATTAGCAACAGGGGAGTGGGAGAAGGGGGGAGAAGGTACAGAAAATAAGTAGCATAGACAGTAGATAGAAAATAGATAGGGGGTGGGTAAGAATAGTAGGGGAAATACAGAATCTAAAGAACTTGAGACACGTTCATGAACTAAAGGGGGGGAATGGTGGGGGAGGAGTGTGCAGGGTGGAGGGGAACGGAGGGGGGAATAGAACAAATGTAATGGCATAATCAATTAAAAAAAAAGATTCTCTCCTAATTTCTATTCCTGGGTAACGTAATTATGATGTGCCTTGGTGTGTGCTTCCTTAGGTTCAACTTCTTTGGGACTCTCTGGGCTTCCTGCACTTCCTGGAAGTCTATTTCCTTTGCCAGATTGGGGAAGTTCTCCTTCATTATTTTTTCAAATAAGTTTTCAATTTCTTGCTCTTCCTCTTCTTCTGGCACTCCTCTGATTCAGATGTTGGAATGTTTAAACATGTCCTGAAGGTTCCTAAGCCTCTCCTCATTTTTTTGAATTCTCATTTCTTCATTCTGTTCTGGTTGACTGTTTATTTCTTCCTCCTGGTCCACACCATTGATTTGAGTCCCAGTTTCCTACCCATCACTGTTGGGTCTCTGTGCATTTTCCTTTACTTCACTTTTGATCACCTTCCATTTTTCCTCTATTTTGTGACCATACTCAACCAATTCTGTGAGCATCCTGATTATCAGTGTTTTGAACTCTGCATCTGATAGGCTGGCTATCTCTTCGTCATTTAGTTGTATTTTTTTCTGGAGCTTTGATCTATTCTTTCATTTGAGACATTTTTTTTTTGTCTCAGCACACCTATTATGTAAGCAAGGGGCAGAGCCTTAGGTATTTGCCAACCACATGGGTTTCCCCACCCTGGTGAATACCTAAGGCTCTGTCCCTTACTGATGCTGTATGTGCGAGAGGGGTCCAAGAGGGAACAATGCTGCTTGCTCGGCTCTTAGCTGGCTTTCAGTCACTTCCTCCACTACCCACAAGCAAAGAGGGCCCTTCTGGTGCTGATTCCCAGGTGGGTGGGCTTGTGTATGTTCTAGGACCCTGTGGGTCTCTCCAGCGAACTCTCCTGTGTGGCTGGGAGTTTCTCCTGCTGCCGCCACAAGCCCCACAGGTTTCTTCAGTGAGAGGGTTTGAGGCTTTATCTCCCCACACTGGAACCCTGGGTTGCACTATCTGTCTGTCTCCCCAGTTGTTTCTCTGGGTAACCTGCAAGCAAATGAGGGACTGTCTGGTCCACCAGCTGCCACCGCCCCAGTCTTTTAGCCACTGCCTTGCCATGAGTCCTCTCTGCCCCAGTTGCCTGTCTCTGCCCCTCCTACTGGTCTGGATAAATGTTTCTTCTTTAACTCCTTGGCTGTCAGACTTCCATACAGCTCAATTTTCTGTCTGTTCTGGTTGGTTTTGTTTTTAAATTTGTTGTCGTCCTTCTTTTGGTTGTGCGAGGAGGCACAGTGTATCTACATATGCCTCCATCTGGGCCAGAAGTCTGAATAATTTTGTTAAATGGCTCATCAATATCATTATCGAGGTGAGTTTTTATGAATGTCACCATCCTAATAATTGAATGTTATTTTTCTACATAAAAATAATTATTAAAATGCCTGTGTGTTCACTGTAGCTCAAAGATTTGATAGAGAACTTTCACTCTGCCCCCCAAATGTCCCCTTTTAACAAATAATTGTGAAAATAGCCTGCAAATTTAAAAAATAAATTTGTAAAAGTATCTATCTGGATCAAAGACCATTTAATTTTTACAAAGTACTATTTCCTAGGAAAACTTACTAGTTACATAGGAAACATTTAACCAATCCTTAAAATACCTATTTTACAAATGTTTAAACAAGTAAATGTGTGTTAAGCAAATAAGGACATGAGGTAGTGCACATTTCTAGGGCATAAACTCCTAACAAAAAACAGGTCCCTCTGCTTAGCGATCTGGGATTTTTCTATTTGATCAGTATTTCCTTCCCTACTTTACTTGCTCTAAATGATGAGTATAATTTTTTGTCCATTTTAATGAATGCCATAAATAACTAATAAGGTCAAGTTGGTTCAGTCACAACTCAGCTATATGAAGATTTTAATTCAGCAATTTGGGTAAATTTTTATCTTTATATAATTCAGAGAAAATTTGCAAATACCAGCAACTACTTACATTTTATTCCATTTGCTTTGTCATTCTCCTTCTGAACCATATAACAATGAGTTGCAGACACCACACCATTTTAGCCCTCACTATTTCTATATAGTTTCCTAGGGACATAGACATTTGCTTATATAGCAACAGTATACCTAACTAAATCAGTACTGTATCAGTGTTAAATTTTCTATTACATAACTACAGTCCATATTCAAATGTCACTAACTGTCTTTAAAATGTCCTTTAAAGCTATTGATTTTCCTGGGCCAGAATACAATTCAGGATCACGCATTGCATTTGGTGGTAATGGCTCTTCAGAAACCTATCATCTGGAAAAGTTTCACAGTCTATGTCTTTTCAGACTAATATTTTAAAAGAATATAGACCAGTTATTTTATAGACTATCCCTCAATTTAGGATTGTCTGATATTCTCTTATGTTTAAACTCAGGCACAGTCCTTTTATAGGAACGACACAAAGTAATATTGGGTTCTTGTCATTGCATCACATCAGAAGGTGCAAGATACTAGTAGGTTCTATTACCAGTGATTATTAATATTATTTAATAAGTGATTCAGTAAGATAGCCATTACAAATTATTACAGAGCAGATTATATCAGACCAATTCTCCTGGCAAGAAAAACTATAAAAACTAGATTAAATAAACAAACAAACAAATAAATAAATAAATAAGGCAAGTTAAAATACCAGAGAAAAAGGAAATGAAGACCTAAGCCTGACAGTCTCCATTACTTTTTCCTTCTGAGGCAACTAGCTGCAGACTGGAGCTTTTGGCAGTCTAACCGGGCTACAAAGACAGGAATTAGAACTGGGGGCTTAGCAAGACAGGTAGGGTTTGGGGGCTAAGATTCCAGAGAAAAGGCATCCACAGAAAAGTGAGTCTGGACATCCTGTACTACTTTTGCCGTTAGGGTATACACTGAATCCTAACTTGCCTGGGGGCAAGAGGCCAAAACGCTAAGCAAAGTGACTATTTTAAAGCAAAAAAAAAGGTAAGCAGAACTTTTGGTAGCCTCCCAGTGCTAGAAAAAGAAAAATTACAGTTTAGGGCCTGCCAAGAAGAAAAGGCACTGGCAAATGCCCCAGGATTCCATTTG